TCTCTCTCTCTCTCTCTCTCTCTCTCTCTCTCTCTCTCTCTCTCTCTCTCTCTCTCTCTCTCTCTCTCTCTCTCTCTCTCTCTCATCAAGTTTCCCAACATGGGTGAAGTAATTTTTCAATCTCTGGAAGCAACACAACCCTTGATCAATCAAGTTGAATGAGTCTGGTCACATTTTCCAATACTACTCGTACTATTCTGAACCCATCTTCAAATCTCCAATACTACTCGTACTATACTGAACCCATCTTCAAATCTGCTCCTTGCCCTCCCTCTAATAGTTGACGGCCCTCCATTGAAAGATCGAGTAAAATTTGTTGATTGACATCTCGCTGCTGCTGAATGAATCTCCCTTCCCCCCCCCCCCCCCTTCCCCCCCATTCTCTCTCTCTCTATGTCTGTCTGACCTGTCATTTTGTCAATGCCCATTTTGCCATGGCGCATTTCCCAGAATGAGCCGCAAGTTGTCTCCCGATCTTGGCTGTGGAAGCTACCTGTTGTTCATTCATGCATGCAAATGATGCAATAGCTTTTGGTAAGCAAAAAAATTATCAATCCCTGTCAGCAATCACTTTTATTTCATTTGAGCCTGTGATCTGCTTTCAGTGCTTTGGTCACAAGAGTGGGGTCGCAAACTCGTTTGATTTCTGCCAGCAGGTAAAGAAGTCAAAATTTTAAAATATAGAAAAAAGAAGTTTGGTCAATCAATGTGAGCATTCATCTGTAGCTTCTGGGGGTGAAGTGAAATTGCGTCTTCCCCGACATCTTCAGCCTTCCTCTCTTCCACTTGACCGACCACTCAACCAACCCTCTCACGGGTTTTGTATCTACCATCCTCTGCGAGCAGCGGACAAAAAAAAAAAAAAAAGGTGCCTGACCATTCATCATGTTCAATCATTGGCGCGATAATTTATTTTTATGTCAAGCATGGATGCAGTCTGAATGAATCCCTATATACATATCTTAGACTGATCAGAACTGATAATGTACTCCTTTTTAGCCAAAGGTCTAGAACTGTGCAAGTGCATCACTTCTTGTTGTACTACTTGATCACACTCAGTGCTTGTTTCTCGTTCTGCCTTTTCGGCTGTTGTCCCCCCCCCCCCCTTCAACACTACTGGTTAACGGGGACCTGGCATTTTCACTCTATGTATGGGTGACAAGTTTGATTAAATAGGGCTTTGGGTTTTCTTATAAATTGCATGACAAATTTCTTGAAAATTCGGGCCTCCCTTAACCGCCTCTCGATTCCCCCCTCCTCCCCTCCCTCCCTCCCTCCCTCTTGCCTTCCCTCTGGGCCCCTGTTTTCCCTTTGTTGCCTATCAAATTGCAGGAAATGCTATCCAATGACTCAGCGTATGGCAAATATACACTTCAGCAATACAAACTTGACACATATATGCGCCTCGATGCAGCGGCTTTACAAGCCCTTAATGTCTTTGAGAGCAGGTGCGTCAGGTCAAAGTCTGAGTAATTCATGTACTCGGGCTCATTCAGCCTGGAGAGAAGATGTGAGGACGATGCTATATGCTCCAACAACCTGGAGGAATGGGTCCTTTTGGGACGACCGGGATTCAAGTGACCAAGGGGCTCAGTGAAACGGGCCCGCACGAGTTGGTGAAAGTCCCATGAAACTGTCAGTTGCACTCATGCCCTCTTTTGTGGAATTCTTTATAGCGAATAGTAGCTGAATACACAACACACTCCTGGACAGGCTGGTGGCTTCATCCTCCTCAGGAGTCGGTGAAAGTCCAACGAAACAGTCTGGCACGGTCATGTTTTTTTGTTCGAGTTTTGTACAGCGAACATGAGAAACACACATGCGTAAACCAACGGTCTGAGCTCGGTTGGTACACCCATGAACAGTTGAAACACAGACATGAGGGAAAAGACAGAAAGAAAAAGACCACTTGCATGTGTACACACACACACACTTCTTATAGGACCTCGATTCTTATAGATCTCCGGCCTCTACCCCTTCCCTTCCTCCCCCCTCTTGTGTATTACTAGCAAATGCATACGAATGCGCATCATTAAGAGAACAGACAAAATATAAGCTGAAGATCTGAGGAGAAACAAGCAGGAGTATACCTCCCCGTTTACTCTGCCTCCTTTCAAGTGGGCCGTTATGGCACATGGGGATGTAGGCAGCTCGCGCTCAAGGCACAGCGAAAGCGGAGCTGCAAGAACAAATAAGAGGGGTACCCCATAGAAGGCCAAAGTAAACATAGTCCGGAAAGGGATATAATGGATCTGTTCTGCTTCATGTTGCTTGCTATAGAGGTAAAGCTATTTTATTGTTTGATTGACTCATCTTCAGTGTGCTTCATTGTCCCTACACTTATAGGAATTGCCAATGTGAGAATTGGCTGATCCGGGCCGGCCGCGGTCCTACTGGCCTGACGGTCCAGATTTCCGCGCGATCTTAAGACTTTAAGACTTTAAGATCGCACGACGATCCAGGCCGTCCGGGAGGGCGGACGGCCTGGATCGTCGTGTGATATTAGAGTCTTAAGATCGCGGGAGGATCCGAGCCATCGGCCCGGCAGGACTGCAGATGGCCTGGATCGTTGTGGCTGTTGGAACGAGGGCATGTCGTGAAAGAACTGCCCAGTACCTGTTGGGCATTGGCCCGTTGCAGGGCTGCGCCCTCGCCCTACTCCAGTCTAATGGCCCGCCTCTACCTTACCTAATGAAGCCGACAAACGCCTATAGGCGGGCACACTCCTCAACGCGCTGCATCGTTTGGCCCTGTTGTGTGACTGACGGCTGTTACGTAAGTTGAGGACGGCCTCTCTCTCCCTCCCTCCCTCTCTCTCTCAGGCATGCCTGCGTTTGTGGAATTGTGTGTAGCGAACATGGCATCGCACGGGCGCATGCGCACACGCAAGCGTGTGATTGCATCATCGGCAGACTGTAGGGGTTCAACCTCCTGATGAGTCGGTGAAAGTCCAACAAAACAGTCTGGCTCAGTTATGCTCTTTTTGTGGAATTGTGCATAGCGAACATGACAACCCACCCA